AAATGAGAGGTAAAATCTCGAGTAGCTAAACTGGAGTAGCTCATCGAGTAGCTAATCTGGAGTGGCTTATCCAGTAGCTAATCTGGAGTAGCTCATCGAGTAGCTAATCTGGAGTAGCTCAATCGGTTCCAGCATTGACTAGAGGATACAGTCATCAGGCAGTTTTTGGTCATCAATTAAGAATTGACTTTGATTTCCAAAAGAGTAAAACTGAAAGAGCACGAAAGAACTCGAAAGTCGAGATCGAACTTAGCTTGTTCGCTTTGTAGAGTGGCAACTTAGCAGTCGGCCAACGAGCTAGTTATCCTAGCAACTTAACTTTGCCTTATGAAGGTAGCTAGTAGCTATCTAACCCTATTGAATGGAAAAATGGTTTGAAAAAAGAGAAGAGCTGAAGAGATCACCATATGGCATGCGCGGTTTCAGCGGCGGCAATTCGGTGCTCATCTCCATTTTTCAGGCTACAAATCTCAACCTAATATCAGATCCATCATCAGAAATCTTTCCAATCCTTTTTCTTCTTTTTTTTCTTCTTCGAGTGTCACGTGAGCGGTCTCGAATTAGCAAATATCTGAACAAAAATATAGATGTGACGTAAATGGGTTTGGTTTGAAGAAAATCGTTTTTGTGAAAGATTCGACCAAAAAATGTAGAAATATTGGGTGCTGGAAGCGACGTCTGAAGAGGCAATTTCAGCCACAAATTGAACCGCGATCCATTTTTGAGGTGCACGATTTTAAGATGAAAATGAGGACGTCACGAGATTTTGGGTGAGACAAAAGAGTGGAGAACGGGATTTGTTCAAAGAGTCCATAGAAAGTCAATATAATGATTTTTTGCTTGAGCCAATGTAAAGCTTGATTTAGCTTCACTTCTTTTTAAATACCTAGATTTAAATCAACGTTTTAAGATCTAACGTAAACGTTGCTTTAAAATTAAACAGTTTTGATTTTTGAAACTCTAGTATTACTAGCACAGATTCGAGTAAATAAAGCTAGCTTTGTTGACAAAGAAGGCCGTACAGTACTGAAGGAGAAGGAGGACGTATATTACTGGACAATGAAATATCATATTTGAAAGAAGAAGGATGTACGTTACTGGACAATGAAATATCATATTTGAAAAACGATCGTCACTTTCGCGCGTCTATAACTCCCTTGTCTTTGCGTTTAAACTATTAGTGTTATACATTTTCTGAAAGCTCTTTTCAAGGGCTACACAATGGTAATATTAATATTTAGAAATACGGTAAATACAAGGGAGTTACAGACGCGCGAAAGTGACGATCTTTTTTCAAATATCATATTTCATTGTCCAGTAGTGTACTTCAAGCAAAAAGTTCCAATATTTTTAGAATCTCCGAAAATTGAGGAAATCTAGATTTTGCTTTGGAATCTATAGATAAAGATGAACGATAACTATTGAATTATTGAAGAATAACGTATTTAAAAATACTATTTGTAAAGGAATTAAGCAAATTTAAAAGAAAATTCGATTTGAAACGATTCGACACCCAAAATAATAGTTTTCTTTTCAAAACTTGAACTAAAACAAAACCAAAAATGATTCAAACAAGAGAAAAGATCAAGAATGCGAAGAAAAGAACGCGGAAATGATTTACATGGCATGATAAAACCTATTTACATGAAAAAAAAAAATACGGCAATAAAATCGCTCACTCAAAATGGAAACGGTACTCGAATTTGGATCGAGATGGAGGGGAATTCGAAAGAGAAATTCGACACCCTTTCTTCTCCGAAAAAAGAAGGTCTGCCCTTTCCCCCACTTTTCTTTTTCGATTTCAATCGGCTCCTTGATATGCAAATGATTACCCCCATTTTTTTTTGCCCATTTTCTCTCTCAAGTGTCCTCGACTTTTGTGACTCGAGGAATCGACCATTGCCTTATTCTGGGCAAATTTTACATTATAAACACTTTGAGCTTTGGGAAATGATAATTTGAATTGATAATTGAATGGGAAATGATAATTGAACCAAGCAAAGTTACAACAATTTTGGAAATTACTTATTACTTTAAAAAAACTCTTTAGACAACGGGCTTACAGTCAAGTACTGTAGCTTAATTTAAGCTCTAAACTTGTGCAAGCAGTATGAAAAGCTATGCAATTGTTGAGTTTGATTTAGGAATATAAAAAGTACCGCAAAATTTCCTGTGTAACCTTTCATTTTTACTGCTAAAGCTTCTGCAAATATGGTAATTGAGTAAATTTTGATCGAAAACATGGACAAGAAAAGTTAGTAAGCGTTAAACTTGCTTTGGTTCATTATCTTTCCAAATTTGGTTCATTATCTTTCCAAATTTCGCTCCTTACCTCTCTAAATTTGGTTCCTTATCTTATTAGATCTGGTTTCTATCAGTAAACTAGAAATATCAGTAAGCAAAGATTGAACAGAATATTGCAATTTTTTGAATCAACAATGAAACACTGGAACTTTTTGTTTGAAGTACACTACTGGACAATGAAATATGATATTTGAAAAAAGATCGTCACTTTCGCGCGTCTGTAACTCCATTGTCTTTACCGTATTTGTAAATATTAATATTACCATTGTGTAGCCCTTGAAAAGAGCTTTCAGAAAATGTATAACACTAATAGTTTAAACGACAAAGAAGGACGTACAGTACTGGACAATGAAATATCACATTTAAAAAAAGATCGTCACTTTCGCGCGTCTGTAACTCCCTTGTCTTTGAGTTTAAACTATTAGTGTTATACATTTTCTGAAAGCTCTTTTCAAGGACTACACAATGGTAATATTAATATTTACAAATACGGTAAAGACAATGGAGTTACAGACGCGCGAAAGTGACGATCTTTTTTCAAATATGATATTTCATTGTCCAGTACTGTAGGTGTAATCTATGTGTAAATGATCTAAACTAATAGAAATATCAGTAAGCAAAGATCGAACAGAATACTGCAAGAAACAAAAATGAAAAAAAATCAAAGAATTGAGATTATCAAATAAATGAGTTTTTTGAACTACGTGAAATTTGAAATTCATCAAGTGCGCTCCGTTCGTTTAGCCCCCGAAAGTACATTATTGCTTCCAGGAACCCAGAGAACCCAAAAAAATAGAGAAATTTCTCTGATCACTCACCGTGCATATGTTGAAGCATTGAAGTTGAAAGCTTCCGGACCAATTTTTATAGAAAACTTGGGAAAAATTTTCTGGTTATCTTCCTTTGCCTCACAGCCCAATCATTGCTTGTTTTAGTGCTTGCCAAACACCAAAAAGGCCAGATTTTATTAGCTTATTGGTAATAAAAAGTCAGCAATCTTTCTCAAAATATTATTTCAAGTTTAGATGAGAAAATTTAACGAAAAATCGTTAAATTGGATATGGGGTCAGTGAAGAAAGAGCAATGTTCACAAGAAAAAAAAACAGAAATGAGCGATTCGGACAAAGGTACTTTAAGATACTTTAAGATTACCAATACAACATACTTTAAGATACAACATACTTTAAGATGCCAATACAACATACTTTAAGATTGCCATTTGTCTTGCAATTTTTAAAGCACTTCCCTAAACCAACAGAAATTCAATTTAGCAAACAAAGCTACAAATTGAAGCTAAAGAATCCATTTTCAAAAGTATCTTTTATTTGAAAAACTAGGCGGAATTTCTCTGGAGAAAGGTGCGTAATTAGAGAGAGCTGAGCAAAAACTAGAGAGTAGGGGGATTACTCACAAACACGCAAAAGTACATTGATCAAAGCTTGGCATCGTTTTTGGGATGAATTTTGATCGATGAACATCCGTTTGAGGGACATTTCAAAGAAAGACTTGAGCAAGAAAAGTCTCTTGAAAGGAGCGCGAAAAAGCGGAAGGTTCAAGCTGGCCCGATGGTTCATTGCCGAGCTTCCGTTTCTCGCTATGAGCATCCAGGGTTTAATCCCGCTTGCAGGCTCAGGTTTCTTGAACTTTTTATGAATGGACATCTTTTATGAACATGAAAATATCTAATTCTTAAAAGATTCAAGAAAACAACAATTAAAGCGAGGACCCAAAAGCCTTAACTTTTTATATCGTTAAACTCTTAAAGGGTCAACTTGATGAAATTGGAATAAAATCACATGCAAGAATTGAAAGGATTCTGATGAAATTCCCCCTCGCTTTGGCACTATTGTTTGCAGATTTTCCTTGAAAACCCCCACTGGTCGTAAAGTTTTCATTAACGAAAATCAGGGTCGAGGCGTGTGATTTCCTTAATTTTCTTTCCCTTTCCTTCCATTTCCTTTGCCCTCCTTTCATTACCCTTTGGCTTCTCCTTTTTTTTGGGTTGAAAAAGGAGGAATTCCAATTATCAAGACCCCTTCTCGAGATCCTCAAAAAAAACTAAATCAACTCCAAAAACTCGTACAGAATACAAAAAGCAGAATTCTTTACCTTAACACATACCAAATAAATATTACCGTAGAATGTTGAATAGATTGTCAAAATTCTTTTCATACCTTTCCAGAACGGGTTCAGCTTCGAGGTTTTCATGTCGGATAATCGAAACATTGCTGGAAACACAATTGTTAGTATTGATCTTCTGATGAATGATTTAAAGAAAAAAAAACGAAAAGAGAACGGGTCCCAACATTAATCTTCACAACAACAGCAATTCCAATGAAATATTGATTTGCTTGTTTGGAATTAGCAACATTTTCCACCTGCTTTATTTGCCCGGACATGTGGCCCCGAGTTTCAAATTAATTTTTTTTGGCCAATTTAAATGATATTGTTCTGTTGTTTATTTGATTTTTTTTACTTTATTTTGTTTGTAATCTAGTTTATGACCAACAATTTATTCAAAATTTCAACGTGAACTACATAATATCAGAGATCATTGACAAACAAAACGATAACAGAGTAACCAATTTAAAAAACAATAATAAAATAGGTCAACCAATTTAGAAAAATAATAAAATAGGGCAACAATTTAAAAAAGTTTCCGAACAATATTTGGGCAACGCCTGAAGTGTTCTCTACTCCTCCTCGGAGCGATCTCCATTTTTAGCAGGGGAGTTTCCATTTGCTTTGTCGTAGCTTTTATCTGCTGAGCCTGAGCGACTAGGAGATCTAAATGCAAGGTTTAAAAAAATCGTTGAAAGATGCCTTTCTTTCATCATTAGATGTTTTTAAGTTGAACTTAGTTCAAATTTTTAAAGTAAAATCAACTCACTTGTCTCGACCATTGGAACCATCGCGGGAACGAGAGCGCGAACGTGACTCCGAGCGCGACTTGCTCTTTCTCTTCTTTGGACTAGCAGAGCGGTCCCTAAAAATAAAACATTAACTTGAATCTACATGAGATTAGAACTAAAAATAAGCAATGGCTCACCTTGATTGACTACGAGATGACGAGCGTGAGCGTGAACGACGAGCCGATCTTGAGCGAGAGCGACGCCCCGAGCGTGAACGAGAACGACTAAAGTCGATAATTAGAGAATGCTCTCAAAATCTACCTACCTATTTGATTTCCTCACATAAAGTTTAAATGATTTTAAACCAACCTTCGGGAACGCGAGCGGCTTCCCTCGGTGGTATCCGTGAGTTTCAGGCGGCGCCCATTGATATCCTTGTCGTCGAACTTCTCCACAGCTAGTTGCAAGTCCGAACGCGAAGCGAAGCAAACAACACTAAAAGAAATTAATCTTTATAAGTCAAAAACCGTGTTTGCTAGTTACTATGCAGTTTAACAAAACTTACGCTTCATTCTTGCGAACCTTGTGGGCATCAGCATATGTAACTTCGCATCCGGCTTTGCGAAGCATGTCCTTCAGATCCTAAAAAGAATAAATGCGATCAGACGTCATATAGTCGACAAACCTGCCAGGATATACGACTGGATAGATTGTCAACGGCGAGACGATGACGAGTTTGAGTTGGTGGTCCATATCTAAATTTTAAAATTATTACCGAAATCTAAGAGGCTTTGTATATTCAAAAAGCAATACAGAGTCTATTCGATGAGAGCTCGTCTTTAGGCACACCCCGACTTCGCATGTCTGACCAAGATAAAGAACAGGGTTGTGGTAGTGGGCACGGCTCGGTTGGTTGGCCAGAGGAAATATTTACACGCTTAGTTTTGGATTGGGGAGAGGCCTCATCAATTTCTATCATAAGGCCGGAGTGTGTCCGTAGCTGGGTGACGACCTTCTCACGCCATATAGCACCGGAGTGAGGCTCTCCCTCATAGACTAGGGCAAAAGGCTCAACCAGACTCAACACCCGAACAGTGCACACTGAACTTGTTACATTTAGATTTATATTGTAGGATTTATCTTACTCTAAAGCCTATTCTATGCATAAAATTAATCAAACTTTACTTGCTAGCATAAGTTAAGTTTAAAGTTATTAAACTTAATATGAAGCTATGATGAGAACTTTTGCAAGTTCCTCAATGTTTAATTAGACGTTTAGTCAGTTCAACAAATAAATCAGTGCTATCATAAATGCCTGTTGCTCACAAACTAATCAATTTTGATTTGAAACAAAATTCTGTCTCAAGATAAGAAAAATAATACCTGCTATTTCTTTGTCCATGACGATCGCCTCCACCACGTCCTCCATAACGATCGCCGCGGTCGTAATCCCGCCCTCGATCACGGCCACGATCACGATCACTTCCACGGGCACGCGAGAACTCGACAATCACCCGATCCCCACACAAGTCCTTTCCGTTCAGCTCGTAGACAGCATCTTCGGCATCGCGTGTTTCTTCAAATTCGACAAATCCAAATCCGTCTTTGAGCACGATGTCCCGAATGCGCCCGTAGCCTCGGAAGAAGTGTTCTACATCCCGTTCAGAAGCGCGGCTCGAGAGATGTCCAATGTAGATGCGAGCAGACGACATGACGGCTAAATTTGAATCTATAAAAAAGTGAAACGGAAAGTTGCGTGAAAAAGTTCGCTTAAATACAATAACAGTAGCAAAACCACATAACATAAGTAGATAAAGTTAGTGTAGAAAAAAAAGAACCCATAACTATAAAAACATAAAGGAGGGCATAACTCAGATCCTGATAAAATATGTTTACGAAAAAAAATAAAGATTTCATAAAACCCAATTGGCTTTTTGCTCACCCCGGAGGCTATCTGGGTTACCGTATTCGTATCATTGTTTTAGGACGCAGATGGCAAAATCCGCAAAATAACATGCCAACGGCAACCAACCTTGCAAACAGTGGCCAATTATCTCGATCTGAAATTGAAAAGAGATGCTGTTGGGTGCAGTGAAATAATGTTTGAAAACAATTTAAACTTTATTGACCAAGATTGACCAAGAAATAATAGCTTTTCACAAAATAAAATAACAATCAACAATACATCAAAATAATTTCAAAAAACGCAACAAATACATGTCCTTTCCAATCAGCGTTTTGTAAAAGATTTGTCCATATGGTCAAATCCTCTTTGCAAGTTACGTTTGTTGGATTTGAGACGATCCTCCATCGATAGATCGTTTTGAGCCTTGCTGACCATGTCACTAAAATAGGCAGTAGCATAAAAATCTTTGAATACTGTTATGAAAATACCGAATGAACGAAGCTGGTTTTCGCTCCTTGTCTCGTTCCTCTTCTTCCATATCACGAGTTTTTGCTGCCGCAATGTTGTCGTCACGTTTCTTGTAGTGCCAGTCAACATTTGCCTAAACAATTTACCGAGTTCGGCCTTGCTTTAATAGATTAAATTTACTTGCATGGCACGAAGACGAGCTTCTTTTTCTTCTTCTGTCATAGCGGACGACTTGACACGAGTAGTTGGTCTCTAAACACTAGCTTTAGAATTGGAATAGTAAATTTAATTTTACATTTAATCTTGCAAATTTTTAGAGTTTTTCAAATAAAAATAAAACATACCTTGTTAAAATCTTGAGCTTTTGTAAACCGGAAAAACTTCTGTTCTTGTCCCTTTGGAGAATGGTCTTTTCTTTCATCTTTCTTCTTTCCTCCAATCAAACCGTAAGCAGCACTAAATTCGTTTTTGCAATTTTAGTTTGTAAAGCATAACACACCTTGACGAAGCCTGCGGTGGGAGTGCTGGACCTTTTATGGGACGATCATCTTCATCGGACTCACTAAATGCTAGTGAAATTTGAACAGAGTAAAGTTTTACCTGAAAACTTCCTTCTTGATAGATTCCTTCTCTTCTTCCGTGTCATCTTCATCGGGACTACTCGAATCACGTCTTTTACGAGTATCCTAAACCTTTACAAATAAAGTTTACTTTGAACCATCCCCACCTGTTTTGAAGAGCGCTCTTCAGAATCTTTTCTACTTCTTCTGACCGGACTTTCAGAGTCATGTCTTTGACGGTGCTAAAAGAAAGCTCTTTAACTAGGATTTTTATGCTAGGTACCTTCTTTACAGGACGCTCCTCTGATGAATTTCGCCGGTCTCTACGCACAGGGCTACGGGAATCATGCCTTCTCCGATCCTGAAAAATAAGCAAAATAGTTTGACCAAATCTACTTACCCGTATTTCAGATCGTTCCTTTGAAACACTTCTTTCTTTGCGAGCGGGACTACGTGAATCATGTCTTCGCTCTTTGCGCACAGGACTGCGTGAACCATGTCTTTGTCTATTCTAAAGCAAGTTTTTGTAACGCATTCGCATTGAACCGAACCTTGTTTGAAGATCGATCCCTCGAAAGACTTCTTTCTTTACGCACAGGGCTTGAAGAATCGTGTCTCCGGCGTTCCTATACAAAATAATTTCGCAAACTTTTAAAAAGCAAACTCTTTTGATCGGTCTTTCCTCGGAGGATTCTCTCAACTTACGCGGAGGGCTTCGTGAATTAACCCTTCGCCGCTAAAATCAAGGATCGTTGAACTCAACATAGACTATACCTTCCTGCGGTTATCTTCTTCGGAAGAACTATCTCTGCGAGCACTCCGGTGGCTTTTTAATGAACTCTGTAAAATCTTGGATGCTGATATAACATTTTAAACGGTTACCTTTGTCTTCGTTATCTGTTCAGCATCAGAACTTTCCTGACTTTTATTTCGGTGTCGAGAACTGTGCTTTGATGGCTAAATCTAATGTTGTGGTGATGGACTGCATGCAACACCAACCTTTGATCTTCGTTCATCGTCCGAATCATCTTGTCTCTCACTCCTACGTCGAGAACGACTGTGCTTGGCCTCTTTTTCACTCTCTGAGTCATCTTCAGACGAAGACTAAAATAAAAAGTGTCGTTAAATTCCGAAAGCATTACTTCATTTCTTTGTCGCTTTTTGCTCTTCTCTTTCTTCTCCTTCTTTCGTTCATGTTTGTGCTCTTTCTTTTGCTTCTTCGCTTTCTATATTAAATTTTTAATTTATTCTCACAAGTTCGTTACCTTTTGTTTCTTTTCCAACATCATCTCCTTTATCGCTTTCTCCATCTGTATCAAAAGTTTAACATTTTTGTTTTTTAAATTCATTTACCTTCTTCTCCTTTTGCATCTTTTCAGCCATCATTTCTTTAATCGCTTTCTCCATTTTCAGCTTCATAAGTGGATTTTCCAAAATTTCGCGCCGCCTCATTTCTTCTTTGACCTAAAAGTGGATTATCAACTAAATGTAAAAAAAAATCAAAACCTTGAGATTGACAAGTGGATCGTCAAGGCGCATCGTCACCGTGTTAATATGGCTAACCTGTAAAGAACAACGTCTTGTAATGACAATCGATCCTCAAACCTTGTGATTAACATTAGCGCCGGACGAGACTACTCGATTCGACACAACGTGCTCAACGCCCTAAATAACTTTAAATAAACCATCACACTTCCAAAACAAACCTCAGCTTTCTCGTCGATGACTGCATCAGAGTACTTTTCAAAGTTTTTGTCAATCTAAATGATTTTTTACAGAATATAGTTTTTTCGCAAACCCTTTTTCCGAGTAGATAGTCTTCCCTGTTTACATCGGATTTGACGCCTTCGTACATCCAGTTGATGTTCTTTTGCTCGCCCATTTTGCCGGCGAACTAAAAAGATGTATATTTCTCATTTTGTTTGGATGAAACAAATTTAAACTATAGAGACATTTAGGTAGCTGCTTAGAAAACAATTTCGAGACTTTGTGAGTTTGTCGATTCCGACAAAATTTATCTGAAGGATGTTTCGATAATTTGTTTTATTACAGTCAAATACCAAGTCTTCTCGAATTACAAAGGACTTTTTACACTGGCACAATAATTTCCAACAAAATATCTTACAAATATTACCGTTTAATGGACGTATCCAAATTCGAAACTGATGGAAACTTGAAGCCTTTATTGCACACCAAAACTCGATATCCTTTTGAAAAAACAAGTGTCTACACTAGACCAAGACAAAAATATAATTAAACGAAATGTAACACGAAAAATAGTGGTTATATAAATATAAAATGTACAAAAGAGAGGCACAGAAAAATCAAATGAGGAATCAATGGAAAGGGGGGGGGGGGGGGGGGTTCGAGTAAAAGAAAGACCAGTGGAAAAAGCACATTCATATCACGAAAACCTTAAAGAACAATGAATTGCCAACTATGCGCTGAAATAACCCATACTGTCTAAACTATTCGTCTTTGATCGCGGCAACTCCAAATTTGACTCGAATGGGGTAGGGAACTGAAATTGAAATTTGAGAAATCCACTTGATGACTTGTATAGTACCTACATTTTGCCTCCAATAATTAAGTTAATATAATTAAAGTTAAAAGCGACCATATCTCCAAATGCTCCCGTCAAACGCTCCACCATCGTTTCCGCACTTTTCACCAACATCGCGTGATATTTGCGTTGATCCGAACCAATCACCCGCTCATTAGCCTGGAGCCCCATCTCACAAGCCACCGTTAACTGTCTAAATAAATATTTCAAACGAGTTTAGCACACGCAACCTGAAAGAGTCGCACAAATCCGTAACTCCTTTAGCGCCATAACGTCTCAGTTGATCGGGTTGTGAAAATGCGTCCGCGTAAGCAAGCGGGCCAGCATTGACCTAAAATTTCAAATCAAAATTACTTCGAAACGTATAGTTACCGATGGCATCAAGACTCCTTGTAGTAGTAGCTGTAATCCTTTGAAATCCAGTTGTTTGCCTGATGAAGCGGACTCAACAACGCGTAGGATTTGAGATGCCTAAACATCAAGATTCACCATAACTTGATAGGTCATACCTTTGTCCTGAGCTTTTGCGACGCAAATTCTAAAGGAGTGAGGATGACATGCTCACGTTTTCCTTTATCAACTGCCAAACGACGTCGATTACTCGGAAACGAGCCAACAACTAAACCGACATCTTTATTACTGATATTTATATAACACGCACCTGAAACGATCGTTCTGCGTAAGGCTTGGTGTTGTACAGGTGGTTCTCCTTTACATCTCGAATCCCAATTTTCAACGACCGGCGTCTCATAAAAGAAATCTCTAAAAGATTTAACTGTACTAATGTATAACACTAGCGTTAACCGCAGATTTGTGTGCGTTCGAAAATCTTGTTTCTCATTATCCGCGCACAAAGGCTCAACGTGAGTAATTTGAACGTAGGCAAATGACTGATCAAGCGTAGAGATATTCAACTAAAACAAGTTTTGATTAGAAAAACTCTATAAAGTTACCTCTTTTTCCGGTTCAATCTTGATGTTGTCATGACCTAACAGTTGTCGACAATACTCAAGGAGCGACAGGCTAACCTCGGCCAAAGAAGTGAGGCCCGATTCGTGATAGATCCACTCACTTTGATGCAAAGATTTCCTGTAACTCAATGGATAAGTAAGTCTAGTTAATTAATTCGTACCCAAACTGCTTTTCTCCCAAGAACACGACTTTGAAATAGGTGCCGAGATGTCGCCTGCCATTGTTAATTCTTTCATCCGCTTTGATTGCAGCCTTGTGCAGATCAGAATACACGGCACTCAGCAGCTAAAGCAAAAAAATATCCAAGGAATGACACTTTTACCTACCTTATAGTTCCCAATAGCTTCCAAAGTTGGAATTATAAATCGATAAAGTGGACCAATGGCTTCAAAGCGCTCCGCGAGGGTCAATTCGTGACAACAACGATCAATCTTCTCCAACAATTCATCCTAAAAATGGAAGGCATAAATAAAGCAATAACCACACACCAAAGTGAAGCCTCCTGGTTGCACGTCTTCCCACAGAGATCCTTTCACGTTTTCATCAATTGCAATAGCAGAAGAAATCGAATCAAACACCGACCAATCTGGGCTTACAAGCGTTCCTAAAATATTTTCATAATATAAAGATTAAATTTAAATTTCAAGTAAAGTATCCACCTTTCAAAAACAGCTCCTTCGCAATAACGACTACAACGTGTCCATACGCAACAGCAGCCTCCGAATGCCAACCGCTCGCTGAATGAAGTTCTGCCAGTGCAACAAACCAAAGTGAACTAAATTTGAGTTAATAAAATCTTAAGGAAACAACTTACCGATATGTTGCGAAATCTCTGTAACTATTCGCCAGTGAAATGTGCAATTCGGTTAGCTTAATCTAAAAAGTGCTGTAAACAGTAATGAGTTGTTTTATCAACTTGATCATAGGTGGCTGACACAAAAGCATTTGTAGCCTCAAGTACATGTCCCAGTTGGCCGACCACAATCTAAAAAGTTAGATTTTACAGTGATTAAAAAAAGCACCAACCTCAACATCGTCTTTTGGGAGAAGTGCTACATTGGGCTGCGAATCGTTTCCGATAATTCCTTTGTCGTTTAGAAACCTTTCGTAGTCAAAAATTGAAGAAATCGTTGGCTTATCCTAAATTTGAGCAATATCGACCAGAACAACTTTTCCTTTTATTTAAACTTCATATCGTATTATCGATCAAACTTACACTGAAATTCGGACTGCTGATCGCCTTTTGAATTGCTTCACGAGCTTCTTTGGCACTTCCAAGTGGTCCAAGATTACTTGTGAATCTAAAAAGAGCATAAAAAGTAGCGTTTCAAATTCTATTACTTTCTCAACTTCGCGAAGGACTTTGTGGAAGAAATGCTATCGAAGCGGAATATGGAGACAGCCGATGAGCCGCTTGAAGGGAGGGAACGTTTCTCCTCCTAAAATAAAAATAAAATCTTTTCACACAAAAATATTGCCATTATGAAGACAAGATTCCTAACCTCAAAGTCGTCTTTGGATTGCACTGAGTCATTGCTTCCTAGCGTATCACTCTTCTTGCTCGTAATCTTTTGATCCGATTGATTCGACGATTTTTGCTAAAGAAAAAGTTTAAGGTACTAAAAACTGAAAGGATTTACGAATAACTTCACCAAATTTTGAAAGCCCTCAATTCGCAAACTACAAGCTACATTCATCGTTCTTAAGGTGCACGAAATAGCTTTACTCGTGCCGTTTAAAGTCTCCTAATTCAGCGGCTTTTAAAATTTAAAGGCGCCAAATTAAGACAATGGAGTTTTTCTTTTTAAAAGCCGGTGGAGATATCAATACCGATGTGGAGATGACGTCTTGTATGGCGTCACGCGCTTCTTTCGCAAATCCTGGCCTTCGAACCACAGCGGCAAACCTAAAACAAATCATAAGTATGCTTAAAAGAAGCATAAATGTCTCATTTCATAGGATCAAATCAAAACAACACTTTCTAAGTCGTCCGGGTGGTTTTGGCGGTGCCATCTCAACAGCCATGATCGGTCCATCGGGAATAGCTAGACGTCCTTCTGCGTTTTTCTTTCCCTGAAATTAAAAATCTTTACAAAACTTTAAAATTCTTACGCATGCAATTCTTACGCACCTTATGCAACACCTTTTAAATTTTACGTTCCTAAAGTTTTAAACTTATTCAACGCCAAGCAACACTGTAAATAAGAGTCATCAACGACTAAAAACAAACTGGTGTCAATATCAATACACATGTTGAAGTGCCAATTTCAGCTTATTTTCCAATGCTTTTTCCAATCTTATTTTCCAAAGGATTAACACTTATTTTGTGCCATTACAACACTTTATTTCGCCTCATCAACACCTCCAGAAAAATCTAAGGCGAAAATAACATACAAGCGTGTTTGCACCGAGGCATTCACGGCGTAACGTCAGTAAACTTTAGCTAGTAAACACCAAACAAGCTCACCTGCTTAATCTTGTTGGATTGCGGAGGGGAGATCATGCATTTCATTTTCCTTCTCGTGCCAATGCCAGATGAAACACGTGACTTAAAATGAAAAATGAAAAGGTGAATTAGATAAAAGCAAAACAACAAAAGCTCAATCTATAAACGCGGCTCATAAGTCAAATAAAAAAAATGCGGAAATTAATTTTATAGTGATAATTCAAAAATCTATTCTGTCACGGGATTGAATATCTTAACGTTGATAAAAAGATTACAAAAGCAATGCATGTTCGTTTTGTTTTTTTTTTTGTTTTGGACTTGATTTATTAATTTCACATGTAATTTTTATATGTAAAGTTTATTTACACGTGTTATTTTAAAGAACAATAAAGATTCTCGTTCTCTTCAGCGTCCAGGGCATCCTCTATTGAAGGGAAGAAGTGGGCGAAGAGGTGATGCTTCTCGAAACTCTCCACTTGTCTCAGCGTTGACAGGATCTCCACTGGAATTGGTTTTTGTTTCATCGACTGAGCATTAAGAATTAAGTGATTTATTGACAAGAGTGCTTTGAAACTTTCAACTTTGGAAAGAATTAGACCCACAGTTTGCTGAAGAGTACATGAGCAGCACTCCTGTCTTCTTTTTCTCGAGAATTGTCTGAAATTTATTTTATTTTGAAGCTTTGAGATTAAAAATGAGTCTGGTTTATATACTTCAATCAAAGAATTGGCTCCAGTGAAATCCACGAATGGTACCCCAACAAGATCGATGACAACCCGTTGAATAGGAAGCTTGATTCGTGATTTGAATGTGTTCGTACAAGAAAGAATCTAGAACAGAAATAAAATGCGTATCAAGATTTCATTAAATTCATTTTTCTTACATTTTTCTGACTCTCGCTGGTGGCAATGCTAACTCCCGCATTCCTCAGAATTGGCTCCGAGTTCTCTCTCGACATCTTTTGCTCTAATAGATGCTTACCATGATTATTATTCCTGAATAATAATTAGATTCAAAGACATTCACTGTTACCGTATACTTCCATCAATCATTTGATTGAGTTGACTGCGAAAGCTTTCGGCATTCGTGAAAATGATCGGCGCCGAGAAGTGAAGGCAAAGAGTGAAATCGGGAACAACAGCGTCTCTATAGGGAAAATTGGATAGATAATGCCTTGCATTCTTTAAATTGGATAGATAATGCCTTGCATTCATTCCTTGTAGTTTACCTGTAGTTCTTTGAAGGTTTGTAGTAAGTTTTGTCCTTGTTGTGTGACATTCGACCGAGTTCCACAAGACGAGCTCTGAAGTTGTACTTTGAAAATCTCTATGAACTTTCTGTAAGAATTAATAGACTTTCCGCAAATGCAAATCTGTTTTAACTCTCCAATCTTTTTACTATTAGCAAACTTGTCCTCAACTTTTTTTCCATCCAATTGCAATTGTATCAAAGACTAGAATGAACCTCTCTTTTCCCCGATCATTTGCTCGATCACAAATATTTGACTAATGAGTGCTAAGTGAGACCGAAAACGGGGAAATATTTGCTTCAGCACTTTGTCGATTGCTTGAAAAAAAGACAATGGGTTTTTGGGGGATTCGAAAGGAAAAAGGACGGGGTTTCTTTACATTCATACACAGATTTCACCTTTGACATTTTACACTTGGTGAAACTTGGCTTTTCATTGGATTGGTTCTTTGAGGCATTTGGTTTTAGTCCAATGATTGAGTCAGGTGTTTTTCTTTGAGATTCGAGCTTGCCTTGTTCAGATAAGCTTAAGATTTTTGAAAGCTTTTCTTGAAGGAATGTGAGATCTGAGAATCAGTTTATCTTTCTTTTAACTCCACTTTTTGGTAAGCACTGAATCTCCTTTGTTTCCTTTGCCTTGTATTCAGATTTCACGAGAGATCTTTCCGTGTATTCCAAGAGCTATGATTACACATGGAAATCAAGAAGGCGGGACGCATGAGTCCTTTGCTTGTCCACTTATCCCTCTTTTCTGTCAAAGATTAGACAAAAGAAAGTGAAAGATCGATGTCACTTTTTCAAGAGCTGACTTCCAACTTTCATAGGAATAATCAGAAACGATAGAATTAAGCTGAGATAGGATAATTTCAGTTCAACTGCCTTGCTATTGAGCCTTTTTACAGTACGATTTGTCACCTATAATATCTTTCTTTATGATTCAAATGCCAAAGTTCATCTTTTTGATCTTTTTCCTATACCGAGTGCCCGTTCACACCTCATCATCCGCAAAAAGCGACGTGCAATCAATCGAGCTTTCTCTTTCCGAAAGTGGCGCATTGTTTACGTTCTCTTTCTTCCAAAACCCTTTTTTCTTGATAGGATCGTCTATTGGAGAACCCTCAAAACTCCAAAAAACCCGAAGCACTCTTATAAAAACTTGATGGAAAGGGGTAACGGGGTTCACTCTCTGAACCCGGCCAGCTGCGTCATTTGTGGCACTCTTAAACCCACCTTTATAAATTCCCCTAATAGCTCGATTTCGAGTCGATTCTTTTGCTTGGCAAAACCTTTTTGAATACAATTGTTAAAAGATCATCTTTATCTTCTACTTCTTATCACTGCAAATGTGAAGCCGATAAAAAACAAAAACATTTCCCTAATATTCCACTTCATTTTCATTGCCCTACATCTACAATTCTTCATTTCTAAACCTTTTCCATTTCTCTCAAGTCTCAATAAAACACTTTTCAGATGATCCCCCGAATTATTCTTCTACAACTAATGAGCTTTCTCTTTCTATTGACTTTTTCTCATGCGTGGAAATGTGGGATCGATACAATGACTGAGAAGTTATCGTGGCTCATTTCCTATCCAGCATCACAAGCTAGTAAGTGTAAATGTTCAAAACTTGACTTAAAAAGATCTTTGACTTTACTTTCTGAACAACCTAGTTACTGTTATAAGCTATAACTCAGTTACTGACAAGGGAACTGAGTGTGGTGGCCAAATGACATGTATCACGGGTTATTCGACGCAGAATTTAACGCCGATTCCGAATCTGCTATGGAGCACTGTCTCAAAAGTAATAAGCATCCAAGTTTTGTATGGGATTTCAAATCACCACGAGTTTATGAGCTTATAAGCAGATTTCCCAGAGACTATAAGAAGCAGTGGTAGTGGAGTGAGTTAGAATAAAAAGTTAGAATGCAAAGAGTCTCTAGTTCGAGTCCGCGTTCTGCTCTTTTCATTTGATTTTTTTGGATTTTCAAAGTTCTCGGTTAATTGTTCTCTGTTTGAAATATCCATTTGACCACCACATCAGTTGAAATTCCCTTGTCATTTAAAACCTCTAACCCATTAAAACCATCTTTTCAGTGGTGAATCAATGCTGCATCGAGCACGACAATTTCATCGAACAAGGGCGAACTTTTGGGATTTCTCGAGAGGAAAGTGATCGGATCTTTTGCCATTGTCTGGAAGCAACTGGCGGTTCCTACGCAAAATACATCATCAAACCGATTTTCTGTACTGCTGTCAAGTGCTACACATTTTTCAACAAATACATGTAGTTATAAGCTTCGTTTACTCCTAACCTCAATACTATCAGTTTTCCCCCGCCCAAACCTCGCATTTATTGCCTTTTTTCAAGTTACGGGTTCATTCAAAATAGTTATATTCTTTCTTGATCATTTTTTTAATAGATTTTAATAAAATTTTTTAAACCTTTGTATTTTCATGATGAGCACACCGAGCACAAAAATGACTCCAAGTGCCAATCCCTCAACCACATCAAAGACAACGGTTCCGATAAAGGAGATCAGAAAAGCGAACTGAAAATTTAGTAATCAACGATAAGATTACAATGGAATTTTTTCTTTGCCAAACATTTGAACACTTTCTATATATACTTTCAAAATGTCCCCTTGAATATCTTTTAATTTGGGAAATTTAAACAAATGCCGCAGCTAGAGCTATGAAAGCTATGAAAGCCGCTAGCCGCAGCCGCAGCTATGAAAGCTTGAGCCCTTTCTGTGTAGATTTTTCGTGGCTGCCCCTTTTTTGAAATCCCTATAAAAATAGAAGATATTCAGCTGAGTGGGACACTTTGAAAGAAACTTCTTTAACACATTCTCCATCTCACTCACCGCATCAGTTTTATTGGCTCTCCACAAGGTGGGAATCTGTTTCAATTGCATGAACATCCCTTTCAACGCCACAATGATGATACAAGATAAGAGACACTAAATTTACCATTGGAAATTCAATCATACCAACAAACCAATGGCAATTCCTCTAGAAATGGTCCGATAAAGAAGATAACTGTCAGTAGGAGAAGGCTCGAGAAAACGGTGGCCAATTGGGTTTTTGTGCCAGCAGCCTAGAAAATTGATACTTTGGCAGTTATTGTGACGACGAGTCACCAAAAAGCTGCTGCAGTCTAATAAGACACCAGAAATACCGTACCCTAAACAATGTCGCGCTCACCCGCGTATAAAAGGACGCCTTCTTCCCCTTTTTCTGAATTTTCTCTTCGAGATACTTTCACAATTTTCAGCAAAGTTACTTTTTGTCTTTGGATCAATGCTTTGTTGAAACAACCATATTGGAACCATATTGGCACCAAATTGGAACCATATTGGAACCATATTGGAACCATATATGACCAATTGGAACCATATTGGAAACATATTGGAAACATATTGGAACCGTATCTGAACCATATTGGAACCATATTGGAACCATATTGGAACCTAATTGGAACCATATCCGAACCATATTGGAATCATATTGGAAACATATTGGAACCATATTGGAACCTAATTGGAACCATATCCGAACCATATTGGAACCATATTGGAACCATGTTTCCAAACATTTTCACACGCTTTACCCCAATAAACTATTATTGGTTTAAAACTATTATTCATTTAAGCGAAAGCGCACAGGTCTAACCACGTCTAGTGGGATTCAAGAGAAAGCACAATTCGTAATACAGCAAATTAGTTTTGATAGTTATACTTTTTACCTCGTAGACTAAAGTCCTTGCCAATGCCGTGCTACTTGGCCAAACGGGAAACAATGAGCTCAAACACTCCATGAAGCCTAGTGCGTAGAACTCCTAAACAAATTTCTTATACTTTAATGCAAGATTATAGCCCTATTTACTCACTTGTCTTGTATCAATCTTGTAGTTGTGCTTTTTCGCAAAGAGTTTCCCCATTGAAATCGTGACTACGAGAACGACAACAGCTATGGCCATTGCATCGGCAAATAGCAGAGGAAATAGAGAACCATTGGGCGCTCTAGTGCTTGGAAATCTGAAAGAAATTTAGATTTAGAAATAAATGTAAAATTTCTTGCTTACTTACCCAGTCGGAATCTTCCCAATCACTTTCACCGAAAACTTTTCCCGAAATCCAAAAGAATACGAGAATATAGTACCGAAAATTATCTGAAATTGAACTTTTGTAAGTTTTGTTTTATATACTAACCACAAAGAGATCATAAGGTATAGGTATCTTCGTTTTAAGCAATTTTTTGATGAGCGGATCGAGATAGTCTTTGAAGATGAAAAGAAGAGAAATCGTTGATAGAGAGAGGAGAAAAGTTGAGAGATTCGCCTCACCGAAACGAATTGACGACAAAAGTTGAAGCCAAATCTGAAAAGATAAGTTATCAGTTTAACTATCAGAAACAAGTATTAACAAGAGTTTAGCGCTATTGTTGAGTAATGGTAATCTCGCAAATTAGCTGCATTTTAGCTCCAAAAGGGATAGAAAGCCGATTGGAAGAAAGGGAGCGGAAAAGAGTTACGTGAACGTTGTCTACATGGTTAAGTGCTAGAGGATCTTTCTCTAGCTCTCGGCATGAGGGGTTCGAGCCCGCTTGCCGCTTGCCGCTTGCCTCCATTGATTGTCTTGTTGTCTTTGATTGTCTTTGATTCAAAGAGGAGAGCAAAAGAGGTGATGAGAACGGAAGGAACGATAAAAAACCCCGCCGGAAAATGTAAGACTCCGACATTGCCTTCTGTACAGAACAACAATTGTCCTTTTTGAACGTACTTTACACAAAACTAACTCACAGGAAAAAGCTTTCCGATTCCGCTCGCTCGTGGCAAAGAGACACCAAGAATTTTGTTGAGTTGAGCCGTGAAAACGTGAACCGCTGCACCCGTTGTGAAACCAGCGATCACCTAAAGTTGAATTTATTTTCAACGATTAGAAGATAACTCTTTCACCAACCTGATCAGATAAAAAGCTCGTCAAAAAGTCTAACCGTAGAAAGCCCAATAAAATCTGAAACTTTCTCTTTTGCCATCAAGTATCAATTGACTTTACCTGTATAATTCCTACCAGTAACGCTAAACTAGTCACGATTTCTACCCGAATATCGTAAGTGATTTGCTCGAAAAGCGATTCTTCGATTGGCATCGATGAATTCGAGAATTTTTGCTCAAAGAGGAGTTGAGTGAGACGAAGATTACAGGAACCGACCATAAGGCTTACCACAGCAAAAACACCTATAAGATTTGGTGATTGAAGGGGGTAAAACTCTTTAACTCACCCAATGAAACGTGTCTCGAAGTACCAAAACACATGTAAAAGAATGGAGGTATCAGCGAGGTGTAGAGGCCGTTCTCTGGGCGCATCCCAGCAAGATTCGCATAAGCCATGCCTGAAAGAAGATATGGTACTTATCGATTACAAATATACGAATAATAGGCCTTTTTGAAATGTTTGTAGTATTTTTTAATATTTATAATATAGTTTAAAGCATGCTCTCTCGATTATCATAACTAATAATCAAGTTTATCACTTTTTTGATATCGTTTGATAAAACTTGCATAAGTGTAAACGATAAGTACTGAAGATAACTGGAATTACGCATAATTCAAATACTAGCTTTGTTTTAAAATGCAAATTTTTAAAGCTTACTAGGGAAAGGCACGAACGTGAGCTTTGGCTTGGACAGTGAGCTTTTGATTGGACAGTGAGCTTTTGCTTGGACAGTGAGCTTTTGATTGGACAGTGAGCTTTTGATTGGACATTGAGCTTTTGCTTGGACAGTGAGCTTTTGATTGGACATTGAGCTTTTGCTTGGACAGTGAGCTTTTGATTGGACAGTGAGCTTTTGATTGGACAGTGAGCTTTTGATTGGACAGCTTACTAGGAACCTAGTGCATTTTAGAATCGGATATGAGAAATCCGAATCTGTAATCTCTGTAATCTCCCAAATGACTTTCCAGGCGCAAGCGAAAATTTGATGTCAAATGCTTTAAAACGTTTCTCTCCTAGCCGAGGGCAAGGAGGTTGGTGGCCTAATGGATAACGCACTAAACGTCTGCCCACAGGGTTGAGGTCCGATCCCTGATGTGACTTTTCGTTTTTGTTTTTCTTTTGAAATAAATTCTAAGATTTTACAGTGCCTTTCGCTAGTTGATGCTAATAGAAAATCTTTTTTTAAGCAAAGCAATTGGCGTTTCAATATGGATTTGCTCAAATCCTAGCTCCAGAATCTAGCTTTCCAAATTGGCAAAAAAGGAAAACTTGTAAAAGAAAACTTGAAACTTGGCAGTAGGCAAAACTTGAAAGAAAATGAGCTCTATTTCACCACCTTTCGCTTTTTCGATGACTTCAGAAAAATCTGGCGCTAAAAATGAATTCATTCACTAAAAATCACTTCACTTCACACTTCACAATTCACTAAAAATCGCTAAAAATGACTTCATTTGATTGATCGTTGAGAATTCATTTTACTATTTTGACTTAGCTATCAAGTTTATTTAGCGGTATGCATAAATTTGTTAAAGAAACTGTTAAGGTTACTGTTAAGGTTACTGTATGGTTCCTATTTAGTTTCCCCTCACCTTGTGGGACATGCATGATCCCAACAGTCAACCCGCCAATCACATCATTAATCAAATTCTCTTTCACATTATATTTCGGTAACCATTTCAATATCGGCATCCATCCATATAAAGCGCTCGGCTTTAGATAATCTCTCACATCTTCTAACTTCTCCTAAACATTTGAATATTTAAAAAGAACTTTTTCTTTACTTGGATAATCTCCGAGGATTTCTTCTTCTTTCCACTGGCAATAAAGCCGAATTCTTCATCAAAGATATACTGCAATTTTATTTGATTCTTATGAATGAACATAAAAAAAGAACTTTTTAGATTCAAAGTCATATTACCATATTTTCTGTAATAGTAGTGCAGTCTATAATAGTAGTGCAGGCTTGAGGGGGCTTGAAAAAATAGTAGTGCGCACTACTGTTACAGAAAATACGGTAATTTTCCATTCTCTCACCTGATTCTTATTCACTTTTTCATAATAATTTTTCTCATCAACATCGGAAACTGAAGGAGTATCGTTGAGCTCACATACCAAAAGATTTGATGTCATCGAGTGGGAAGATCTAGAAATATCAAGTCTTTAAAAAGAACAACAGAAAAAGAACAGGAAAAGTGATTCTAAAAAAGAATTCACAAAATTCATTCAGCTTTTTAATGAAACTTGCAATAAAATCCAAAAAACTTTCTGAAATTCTTTCAACTTTTAACTCTGAATCAAATTTTTTAATTAAACTTTGCAAAAACAATCCTAGAAACAATCATTTGTTGTCAGGGAAACGCTTTTTTTTCCTTTTTTTATACGTTTCCTGATTTTGGAGAGTTTAACACATTCGCGACGAGTCGTTTTTTTTTGCGTTACTGCCCCAGTGGACGAGGGGTGTCTCGCAAAGCTATTAGCCCCGAAATACACCTCCTATATATAAAATTACATACTGAATCCGAATCTCTAATCATATTTTGAAAATGTTGCTGCCTCAAAAAGAACTAATCGAATCTTTTTACATTTTGAAATTATCTTAAAAAGTTGAGAAGTTATAGCGCGTCAAAAATTTCGTCTACCGGTGGACCGAACCGTCCGAGGGGCCAGATGGCCTTCGTCCACCGGTAGACCGAATCGTCCAAGGGGCCAGATGGCCTTCGTCCACCGGTAGACCGAATCGTCCAAGGGGCCAGATGGCCTTCGTCTACCGGTGGACCGAATCGTCCAAGGGGCCAGATGGCCTTCGTCTACCGGTGGACCGAATCGTCCAAGGGGCCAGATGGCCTTCGTCTACCGGTGGACCGAATCGTCCAAGGGGCCAGATGGCCTTCGTCTACCGGTGGACCGAATCGTCCAAGGGGCCAGATGGCCTCGTCTACCGGTGGCCGACGTCCAAGGGGCCAGATGGCCTTCGTCTACCGGTGGACCGAACGTCCAAGGGGCCAGATGGCCTTCGTCTACCGGTGGACCGAATCGTCCAAGGGGCAGATGGCCTTCGTCTACCGGTGGACCGAATCGCCAAGGGGCCGATGGCCTTCGTCTACCGGGGAGAATCGTCCAAGGGGCCAGATGGCCTTCGTCTACCGGTGGACCGAATCGTCCAAGGGGCCAGATGGCCTTCGTCTACCGGTGGACCGAATCGTCCGAGGGGCCAGATGGCCTTCGTCCACTGGTGGACCGAATCGTCCGAGGGGCCAGATGGCCTTCGTCCACCGGTGGACCGAATCGTCCCGAATGTGTTAAAGAAACTTTAACTTTAATTAACTGAGCTCAATATATAAGAAAAGTAAGAAGTAAGTAAGAATTAAGTAAGACATAGTAATATCTAATAGTAAGAAAAGAATAAAGTGAAACGAGTACTTTGTTCCAGACTGAATTCAGTCTGTAGACAAGTAAAAGGATGCAAAAACGGAATTCAAACTGAGTTTAGGTGAAAACTTGAAACTTCTTGAACTCTACTGAAGAATTTAAGTTGTTTTTTTGAATGATTTAAATCGAAAAGGTACAAGGATTAGCCGATAAAGAACTTCAAAATCACTGAAGAAGAACAAATTCATAGCGAGAAATCGGCGTCTTCCCTTTTCCCATCTTTTTCTATCTCATTTTAACCCAAAAATCATCCGTTCTCTAGGTAAATAGAGAGATTTCGGCTCTCTCTGAACCCAAGCAAGATATTCTTTTAAAACAAATCCCCTTTTCACATCATCGAATAGCAATAAACAAGATTAACAAATGAATGAGTCCAATCAAATCATTCACTGTTTACGATTAGCCTTAATTCTTTTAAATCTTTACTTTTTGTAATAAGTAATACAATATAGCTATTTTAATTTCATTTGAATACAAGAAAATAGCTTTATTGAACTCATACAGGATGAATAGATGACTGGCTTCTTTTGAATAGGACAGCTTCTACAGGAATTGGTTATCTGTATTCTTCTAAAACTAAAGTTCACTGTATCTTGGATTATCTTTACATAAAACTATTGACAAAAGTGAATCTCTAGCAGATAATGAAAAGAGTTAATTTCTAAAAGATACAGCAGATATTGTAGTGACTTAAACAGCTTTGACTGGCTTCTTTTGACAATATCTGCTGTATCTTTTAGAAATTAACTCTTTTCATCTACAGTATCTTCTAGGATTTCAATTTGAAATTAAAGCAAGCTTGAAGCCACTCCAGGATCTCTTTCTGAGAATTTCTAAAAGATACAGCAGATATTGTAGTGCTTCTCAATTCTTAAGATAAGTCTCACTTTTCTAAAACATGCTTTCCTTTAAGCTTTGTGGATTGATGAACGAAATCCAATCATATGGATTGGATATGAAGACAAAATAACAAAGATCATAAAGAAAAGAAAACTCTGAAGTAATTCAAGACCAAGTTTATGACAAGAGGGATTTACAAAGCTAACCACACTTTCAAAAAACTTAAAACCAGACAATATTTTTCAAGAAGCACAAGCTTGGCTTTGATTCAACACTTAAAAAATGTTTGAGTCTGAAAAGAAAAGCTTCTGAAAGAAAAGAAGGAATTTCATTGCATTGGGGGCATGAAAGGGCCAAGAGGAGTCCCATCCTCTTCCCCCTCTCCCCTTCCCCCTTCTCTTCTCCCCCCTTCAGCTCTTTTGGCCTTCAGCTCCCCCAGGGTCTCTTTTGGCTGTATTGATCTCACTCTCCGTGTTTTTTTTCTCTTTTTAACCCATTGGCTTTTCTTTTTTTGCCTCTTCTGCTTTTGGCTATATTTATAACAGCTGATGGGTCGCTTGAGAGGCAAAAATGCTCTTGAAATCAAAAGTCTTCAGTTTCACTTGACCTTTAAAATGTTTAAGTTTAAAGGAATTCATCAAGAGCTCTGAAAAAGCTTGTACTTTGTGTTCAAAAGTAGAAACACATGATTTCTGATGTACTCAACACATCTTTTTGAAATCTAGCAGGTACAGTAGAAATTTGTGCACAGGAAAGGATGCGTTTCTATTCTCTTTTGAGCAGATGCAGAAAGACAGAAAGACAGAGAGTATGCAGAAAGACAATTATTCAGAAGTTTATTACTTGTGAATCAAATTAAACTCAAATTAAGATCAAATTAAGCTCAAAAGACTGGAAATTCAGTACTAAAAAGCTTTGTTTCTTCCTTTTTTTGAACACAAAGTACACCCGAACAGTTCTAAACTTTAACAATTTCCTTTTACAATCAATTTCCCTTTTAATTTTAGATTTTAAGTTTCATGAACAGAAATATAAACAATTTATTCATGAAAAGAAAAATAAACAAAAAAGAAATCACAATCGATGCACTCAAAATGAACACTAGCCCTCTAATCATTTACAAATTCAAACAGAAATTCAGAAATTAATTCTCTTAACGATCAATCGTCCAAAGTGATATCTCTGAAAAAGTACTTTTAGTTAAAATTGAACAACTTTAAAGTATTATGTAGAAATGTTTTCAATTTTAGCAATACCTGAACAACTGCGCCATTGACTCATCGTAATAGATGCGTCTCACCGCCTCACACAACATCAGCGAGATATCGACGGTTTTGATTTTATGACATCTCATCTTTTGCATTTCGTGAGGAACCGTATTTGTGACGATAACCTGAAAGTTTCCATAGTTAGATTAGAATAAAGTTAGAGTCAAAGTTATTCAAAAAGTTATTTTTCCAAGACAGACCCGAGCCCAGACTTTACTAGATCTATTGGGTTGGTGAATTGAAAACTGCCGGCTATTGTCATATGTGACAGTTTTTTTCACCAACCCAATAGCAAAATTTACTAGTTTCGCCTCATCTTGACGGAATAACTTCTTTCAAATTTCAAATATTTGCTAGCTATTTATTTTTTAGAAACTAGATTCAATTCTGCGTTTGTACATATAGAATGGATGACAGAGTAACCAAAATAATCCTAAACATTGATGACGAGCTTTGGTTGATTCATTGATTCATTGATTTAGCTTGATTTGATTCATTGATTTAGCTTGATTTGATTCATTGATTTAGCTTCATTTGATTCATTGATTTAGCTTCATTTGATTCATTGATTTAGCTTCATTTGATTCATTGATTTAGCTTCATTTGATTCATTGATTTAGCTTCATTTGATTCATTGATTTAGCTTCATTTGATTCATTGATTTAGCTTCATTTGATTCATTGATTTAGCATTGATCGATTCATTGATTTAGCTTTTCTGGCCAATCTATTATCCAATCAAAATAATTTTTTTCTACAGAATTTATAAATAAACCTTGAACTAGGTTTGGAAAAATTCTAATTTGAACCAATTCCATCTTCATTTTCTTGATCGTTTCTTAGCCAATCGTTTTAAAATTTTGTTTACAGAGAAATCTTCAAGCTGTAGACAATCGACTGTAGACTGTAGACAAAATTTCAAAGCAATCGGTCAAGAAAACGATGATGGAATTTGATTTGGATTGGAATTTTCTATCTGTTGAATCTTTACAAATCTCTTTTCATTATCTTTACTTGTGTAATCGGCGAGTTCTCAATCAAGTCGGGTGCTTCGGTGGAGAGGAGGCCGTGAGTAGCAACAACGAAAATCTAAAGCAAATACTTTACTAATAAAATTAGCATAATCTTGATGAATAAAAATCAATTCTAATAGCCATCTAATAGCCATCTAATAGCTATCTTTTATCTCTAATAAATTTTAATATCTATAATCTTTTAAATTCCTTTACTTCTTACCTTATAGGCTCCTCGTTCCTTCAGAACCTTGGCAGCAGCGACGAACGATTGCGCATCATCAATGATATCATCCTCAAAAAGTGATTATTATACGGGAATCTGTTAAGTAATCTGTTAAATACCTTTTATATAATAGAACTTGTATCTAAGCTAAGCTTTCTAGTTTCTAGCTAAGCTAAGCTAAGCTTTCTAGATAAGCTAAGCTAAGCTTTCTAGCTAAGCTAAGCTAAGCTTTCTAGCTAAGTTAAGCTAAGCTTTCTAGCTAAGCTAAGCTAAGCTAGCTTTCTAGTTTCTAAATAAGAAGCTTTAAAACCGACCACCATGATTGCAATCCTTCCACCAACATCTCCAACCACTGTCAATGGTGGCTTCTCTTTTGTCATTTGTGCTAAAATCCAATCTCATTATTTTAATCTTTAAATTTGTTTTGTTATTTAACTAACAATGATTAACATTTTAGCACAGAGGGTTTTCTTTTGATTTATTGAACCGCAAAGAAATCAAAAAAATAAATGAAAACTGGCAAAACCACAAAGACACAATTAGCGATTTGTTTTTTAAGGCATGCAATTTACATTTTGAAACATTTCAAATATTTAAATAGCATTTAAATAGCATTTAAAACACTAATTCTCTAAACTATTTGTGTTTTTTTGTGTGAAATTAGGCTAAACATACATGGAAAGAGTTCATATTGACCACGACGACCTAAGGAAAATAATCTTTGTTTTAAGAGAAGCATAAGTTTTTCTTTTCTTATCAAGAACTTTTTTTTAAAATCAATCTTGGTTAGTTCAAGTGGTTAACTTTCAAATGACATTGATCTTAGAGAAAACTAGGCACCATATTGCAGAAGGATGTCACTACCTAAAGTGTTGTTGAGATTGCTGAAAAGTCAGCTATTCTCTGGTTTACTGTTTCAAATAACTTCAGAATTTTGTTGAAGTTTAAGTTTCTATTTATTTAAATTATTGATATTGTTTCTATACTCAGCAGCTATTCAAAAGTCTGAAATTTACTTCAAAGGAACTTAGTTCTTTGGATTCTAGAGGGAGAACAATCATAGTTTACTTATTGAATTACTTACGTCTAATATATATAAAGGAACTAAGACGTCTGTCTGTCTGTCCGTCTGTCTGTCCGTCCGGCTGTCCGTCCATCCTGTCCGTCTATCTGTCTGACCGTCTGTCTGTCTGTCTATCCGTCTGTCTGTCTGTATGTCTGTACGTCTGTGTGTCCGTCTGTCCGTCCGTCCGTCTGTCCGTCTGTCCGTATGTCTGTCTGCCTGTCCGTCCGTCTGTCTGTCTGTCCGTCTATCCGTCTGACCGTCTGTCTGTCTGTCTATCCGCCTGTCTGTTTGTATGTCTATCCGTCTGTCCGTCCGTCTGTCCGTCTGTATGTCTGTCTGCCCGTCCGTCTGTCTGTCTGTCCGTCTATCCGTCTGTCCGTTTGTCTGTCCGTCTCTCTGTGGGCGCTACTCCTCAGCCCCCAGAGGACCGTTTGCAATGATTTTTGCGCCGTTGAATAGGGAATTACATGTAGTTGTGCAACGTGTTTTTGGATTTTTTAAAAAGCACAATTCAAGTCGCACGGGGAGGCCGAACCCGGATCGTATGGGGCTGCTCCGATGCTCAAAAGTCGTCCATCCCCCAAAACATTCAGAAAAACGCGCCGTTAGATTCTAGAGGGAGATTCTAATAGCTTACTTATTTCAGCTATTAAAGTTTAACATTTGATTTTCTCAACTTACATGGAAACAATTCGAAAGCTGCATAATTTGGTGGAGGACTTTGTCGTCCATCTTCTTGTCCCGATTCACCATCATCTTTTTGCTCTCCATGAATCACTGCCACTCCTAAGATTTTTATTATTAGTTAAGGTGTACTTTGTGCTCAGACACAGAAACGCGGCCTTCCCAGTACACCAAGTCACCGAGTTTTATCCCGAGTCGGGCTGAAATCGATAATTAATCGATATTCCTCGACAACAAGAATCAAGAAAGAGAGCGTTTCCGTTTTTCGAGCACAAAGTACACAAAGTACACAAATTATATCAAATTTAGCACCACACTTTCTTTTGAAATGCAAGAGTTTTTTTTTTTGAAAGAGTTCACTTTTGTGAACTTTTGGGTAGTGAAAAGGGTGCATTTAAGAAAGAAACTTTTACTTTCACTTTTACCATAAGCCACGTACCATTTAAGCCTAGAAATATAAGAATTAGTGTTTTTTAAATTGAAAACAAATTCATCTTACAAACCTAAACGAAGTCTTTCTGCATAAGATGTTGCTTTGTTCATAACTCCTGGACTTTTCGCGACAATTACCGCATTTCGGAGATCGGAAACCTAAAAATTGTTTTGTTTTAAACGATTATTGTATGTAAATTTGTCTAAAATGTCTAAAAATAAATAAAATGGGGGGTGGGACAAATGCGACCTTTTTTTTGCGCATCTGGACATTTGCGCACTGCGGAAAAGCGTTAAGTTGCGTAGTTTTTGCCTTTTAGCCCAAATTTGACGTGTCAAGCGAGGTCTGATTTGTCGAAATTCGGAATCTACGCATACGATTCCCTTCTATGAATACATTTTTGAAGCTCTACGACCTTTCCTAAGGCCTTTTTCAGCTCTACGACCTTTCCTTAGGCCTTTTCCAGCAAAAAGAAGGTGCGCAAATGTCCAGGTGCGCAAAAAAAAGGTCGCATTTGTCCCACCCCCATAAAATGCAGAAAAAAAGGCACACATTTTCTCTGATATACTGTAAAAGAAAGGGTGACGCTCGGAGATTGTCGACTGGAATTGAAAAGAATCCTTGAATCTCTTTCTTATACAAATCCAATGAAACAAGACGATCAGCTCCTAAAAATAAAGATCTATTGATATTTTAATATTGAACTTTTCTTTTTTGCTTACCCGACTTGCAAATGAGCTCAGCAATGAGCTTCATTGGAATTGATGACCGACGCAGCATTCGACATTGCTTTGAATACGGTAGATAGGGCATAATAACGGTGATTTTCTTTGCCATTGAGGTTTTACACGCATAAATGATAATCAACAACTCCATCACATCATTGTTCACGTTTCTAAAGGTCAATTTATCAATCAATCAATCAATCAATCAATCAATCAATCAATACAATCAATAAAAATCTTCCATTTGTTACTCACTTGGACGCTGATTGCAGAATGAACACATGCTTTCCACGAACTGATTGCCGGATGTCCACTGAAGTTTCTGAAATAGGAATTGGTGAAAGGATTCTGTTTTAAAAATGAAAGCAAACCTCTGTTTGTTTTATTGTAGACAACCGCGTCACCGAGTTTTATTCCGAGTCGGCTGAAATCGATAATTAATCGATATTCGATTGATTAGAAGATTAGATTGATTAGATTTTTTATTTCGATTGATTAGATTTTTTTACCCAATAAACTATTAAACTAAAGTACATTTCTCTTTATCTGAAAGCTCTGCTTTATCAATTTACTGAATTTTTATTCTTTAAACTATCCAGTTAATCTTTATCGCTTTCCAATTAGCTGCTATTGGGTTGGTGAATTGAAAACTGTCGGCTATTGTCAGTTTGATAACTGTCAGTGACAGTTTGAGCACTTTCTTCAAAAGAAACCCATGTTGGTGTCAATGGAAAAGTTGTAGAGAATCAAAAATCAAGCTTATATCCAAATTTTCAGAACGATTCAAAAACTGGTTTTCAAGAAATGCCAAATTTACGAATGTTCACAAAACTTGCATTTTAAGCGAAACTACTAAGTGTATCTTTTTGGAAATTTGGCTATAAGCCTAATTTTTGATTCTCTACAACTTTTCTATTGACACCAAAATGGGTTTCTTTTGAAGAAAGTGCTCAAACTGGGACATCTCCAGTCCTCCATTTTTGAGTCTCACACTTGTCGCACACACAAACCAAAATCCTACTACGAAAAAGGAATCCGCAAATTGCCTGTAAAATGGGCAGAAGTCGTCAATAATAATGGAAATTATTTCGAATGGATTCATGGTTTTATGTTGAATAAATTTTAGTTCAAAGTCCCGCGGTTTTCAATTCACCAACCCAATATTTTGGTATTTGAGCAAAATTCCTCAAAGTTTCACTGCTCGATCCACTGCAAAGCTGGCAAAGTTTATGAGATTCTTTGCAAGTTCTGGAAGTGCAAAATAGTATAATGTACTCTTTAAAACTGATGTACTACTGAAAAATTGGTTTTACATATCAAATTCCAAAAGTTAAACTTGATCAAACGATCAGTGAACCATTGCTAGATGTTTAAAGATGAATGGAAAGACTAACTAAAAGTTTTCTAACTAAATTTACTCACTCGGAAACAGTTCTCGCCAGCTCTGGATGTGAATTCCCAGTCAGCAGCACCATTCCAGTACTTTCATCAGCTTTATACCCCATTGAGGCCATTTTTCCGGTTGATGCTCGCGGAGTTCTAAATGGAAAGCATTTATTTAACTGAATGAATTGAGATTAAACATGTAAATGTTCTGTAAAGTATACTGTAAAGTAGAAAGATACTGTAAAGCTTTAATCTATACTAGTACAGTATACTAGTATAGAATCTATACAGTATACTAAAAAAAAGTATTCGATAAAGTTATTCTTACTATACTTACTAAATACTCTTACTAAAAGTCTAGACTAGTTTTTTGCTTTTTGCTTTCAAAATTTTGTTTAAATTAAGCAAGAAAACGTTGCCTGCTGTCCAATAAAGCCATTGCAAGAAAATATTTAGAAAGAAAATTGATTGAAATAATTTTTTCGACTATTCACAGATTGGCCAGAGAAAACAACGATGATTCATTCATTTTAATATCAAAAAAACATTTGAATTTGAAATTTGAATGCAAAAAAAGAAAAGAAATCTTTAAAATCTTTGAAATTTTTGAAAAGATTGATATTTTATTTGATTTTCAAGATTCCGAATCGTAAAAAAAGATCAAAACAAAAACGGGGAAGAAGTCCCGAGAAAATTGTAGGCAATTTCGCGATTGAATCTATCGATTTTCATTTTTCAGTAATTTCTTTCAAATCCTGGAACTAGAAAGATTCATTGTTAAGATAAGAAAAAGTTTTTTTACTATAGAGAATTTTAACAAGTAGATGAAGCTTGATTTATATATATATACTTTATCCGACAAGGAAAAGTGACAATGCAAACAGATTGAACAGCGTAGACGAAGAAAGATAATTGATATACAAACACAACTACAATTAGATTTAAAGCTGGAAAACAAAAGAACTGGAAACTGGATCCTGGAAAACAAAAGAACTATTCAATCTTTTGTCCTTTTGTCCAATATAAAGGAAAATATCAAACTTACAATCAATCAATCTTATTATTCATTTAAAAATAATCAATAGAGACATCTGGGTGGGATTTGGTTGACCCTTTGACCTGGGGAATGGTAGGCAGGATGAGAAAAAGGATGAGAAAAGGGAAGAGAAAAAGAGAAGAGAAAAAGAGAAGAATGGTACTCGTCTGGATATTGATTTCTGGTACAATTAGACAATAAAAAAAAAGCTCTAGATAAGCTAATTCTGTTTTCCTTTAATAGAAACTACCCTAAAGTCGCGAGTATAAGTTCTGTTTGGTTTTCGCATGCAAATTGACGGCTGTCTCCGGTGCGGTGTGTCGAGGGTTCGAACCCCGCTGCAGCATAACTTTTTTGCTTTTTAAGAACAATAATAGAAGTAAATTTATTGAGGGTTATAGCAATTTTATGCTGTTATTTGTCGCTCCGGGCGTGGCTCGGCGCGTCCGCCCTGCTCCTCTCCGGTGCTCAGTCTTATGGATCCCTCCCTGGCCTCTTCATCCGGCCAAAGTCCACGTCGACGGTCGAAAGAGATTCTTTCCAGCGTCTTCTTCAACACTATCGTCTGGATGTATCCATGCACATAACAAATAGCAATGGTGATAAGCTGTCACCCTGTAGTATCCCGCGCTCCAAGAACAATAATAAAAGTTTATATAACAATAAAAATGTATAAAAACCCAACAAAAAGAAATTCAAAGCAATTAAAGCGAATGTAAATTAAGGCAGAACTTATGCTCGGATGAACTTATACTCGAGACTTTAGGGTAATAAAGCCTAAGCCTAAGCTAGATATACTAACTCTTCGGCAACTTTAAAGACCAATTTTTAATATAAAGCTAGATAACTTTGGTAACTTTAAACTTTCCATTTTTTTAAATTCAACTTGAAAAATAGAAAATTGAGAAGAAATAGCATAAGGTTCAAAGTATTCAAACGGTTCAATAAATCCCCTTTCTTGCTAAGTGCAAACAACAAATGGGGCATGTTTTAGAAAGGACAGACGGAGAGCTGACGGAGATTTTAAATCCAAAAACTATTGTAAATTTAAATATTGACAGTGCTGTTGATTTAAAAAACAGAAAATGTAGTAGAGAATGATTTCGAGAAGCTTTCATGTTAAATTTGAATTTCCATCGCAAATTTTAAGTTAAGTTTATCTTATTGTTAAATCTTATTTTTTGCGCGACGTCGCATTCCAATTGACGTCGCCGCCATTTGGAGGTTGCCGATGGGAGCGTCACGTCGTCGTTTCTTTTTCATTTTTAAAAAAATAGCTTTTTTTGTCGTGTTTTGTCAGATTAATTGATTCTATTGTTTTATGCGATAAATTTTGTGTTTCTCTTTGAAATGAGAAAGAAATCCATTTCCATTTGGAGTGAAGAATCCGGAACTTTTCTTAGCCAGACCACAATGAAGGCCAAAACTGTTAGGGTGGTACAAAAGAAACTGCCGATATATCAGCTCTCATTTATCAGAAACGAGCGATGCTAACGGCATTATTTTTTTTATTTTTTGTTCGCATATTTGTTTGCTATTTCGACATTTGAATTTTTTGGTTGTTGTTTATTTTCTTTAAAAATGCTTATATTTTTTATTTAGATCATAGTCGAGCAAAAGTTTGTGCTACGAGCAGCATTACTGTTTAACTTCAAAATTGGAAAGTCTGCTGCCGAATCGCCTCGTTCTCTCTATGCTGCTTTCGGAGATGGCAGTTTGTCTCTCAGGCAGTGTCAGACTTCGTTTCAACGATTCCGAGAGGGAGACGAGGCTTTGGAAGATGACGAGCACGGTTCGAGGTCAGAAGTCGTGAATGAAGCCAAGCTGAGGAACGTTATTCAGGCCGATTCATGCCATCTGCTCGAGATCTTGCGAAAATATTCCATTGTGATCATGTCACCATCCAACGCCATCTTCACGCTATTGGAAAGAAAAGTCGTTGTGGAAGATGGGTCCCTCATTAACTCAGTGATGCTAACCTCGCATCCCGCATTTCCATCACTGGCATTCTCCTGAATCGTGCAAAGAATAGCGGATTTCTTGATTCTATCGTGAAATCGGATGAGAAATGAATTGCATACGACAACTTTACGCGAGAACGACAGTGGCTGAGCGCCGGCGAACGTGCTGTTCCAACCCCAAGGCCCGAAATATTCCATTGTGATCATGTCACCATCGAGCACCATCTTTTTTTGAATTTAGCGTCAAATTGGCAGTTTCTTTTGCATCACCCTAATAATTGTAAGATGGTTTGGGGAATTGAATGGAAACAACGAAAGCAAAGTTCGTTTCCTGGACCGTTACAAAACTCTGTACTTTAAAATATTAATGCAGTTTTCAAGTTTATCACTTAAGTACATTTATTCAAGCCTTTAGAATAATAACTTGATTCAGAAAACGCGAGAATTACAACCCGTTTCAAAATGAGATTCACAAAAGACTAAAAGGCAAAGAAACAAAGCTTAATAATAAGAAATATTCCAAAACTTTCTCATCTCCTTCCCCCGAAATTCCGCTGTCCAAGCGCTCCTCTACCCTGTGATCCTCGATTGAAGAAATCGTTGATTCGATCATTTATCGGATTCATCACCTCCAAACCGATCTCGTTCTCATCCATGATTTTGCCGACAACACGAGCTTGACCAAGTTGTTTTTGCTAAAAGCATGATAGAATAAAAGAATTGTAAGAAATATATTTCTACTTTGATCTTTATAATTTCTTGTGAGACCGTGTCTCGGTATGGTTTAATGGTAGATGTCTTGAAAACGGACAATTTATCAAAACTTTCCCTTATTAGGGTAAACTTCGCTCAAACTGGAGCAACACTATCACAATTACTTCAACGCTTGCGTGTGAAAAAAGAAATGAAAGGAGCACACAACTGACTCAAGACAAAGCTTAAATAATGGGTTTTTAAGTAAACAAGCTATTGACAAACGGACAACTGAATATCGTCTAGTGACTGATTACGGTAGTTTATCCACCAACTTTGAATTTTGACTAACTGCAGAGCAGTGTCAATTCGCCACACTAATTTTCATATGTTACTCTAAATAATGTAAACATTTAGAAGAAAAATTGAGAATATTGTTGAGCCTAGTTTCTTAAATTGAGAATATTGTTGAGCTTAGTTTCTACAATTGAGAATATTGTTGAGCTTAGTTTCTTAAATTGAGAATATTGTTGAGCCTAGTTTCTCTGGATTCAACCTAATAAATCACAAGCTTTAAAGCAAAAATTTTTCCATTTCAATGATCTAAATTTTTTGAATAGATATCTCAAAAAATTTCGAACATCAATCAAAATAAATTCTTTGATTTTTTCTCTAGCAAACTTTTGAAGATAAACTTTTGAACATTGGGATGATTGATCTACGATTTTTTTAGGGATATTTTCAAAACCTTTCTTGAGTTCAAGTTCCTGAAAAGAATTACTAGCTACAGTATTTCTTTTTTCTTTAGAAAAGAATTATTGTAGATTATTCTATTATTATTCTATTCTTATTATTGTAGATAGAAAAGATTATATTGTATTGATTATATTGTATTGATTATATTGTAAAGATTATATTGTAAAGATTATATTGTAAAGAGCACGTGTGGCTGACTGGTTAAGTGTCTTTTATCTTAATCGGAAGGTCGAGGGTTCGAACCCCACATGCGACATGGTCACCCCCTTCGGATTTCCTTTCCCTTCGGGTTGAGAGGTTTTCTGGAGGGCAGTCTGGTGGTTGTGGCCCCAGTTCTTTAAAGTGACAAGCCACTCCTTCATCGTCATCTTCCCTTCACCACCAAAAAAGCTATTTAGTTCCCCATTGAGCTTAGGGTTAGGGAGCCGTCTGTCATGACGTGGGTTAAGTTAAGATATAGCCTAGTATTGTGTGTGTCGTTGTATTGTGATTGATATATTTCATGTATGCGATAAATTCACCACTGGTAGCCCCAGTCGGTATTTAAAAAAAAAAAAGATTATATTGTAAAGATTATATTGTAGTTACTGATAAAGAAATGTTCCCATCTCTTTGTGTTAATGAAAACATCGACTTTCTGACACAATTAAATTCATCTTGAGCAAAGATTTTCGATCAACAGTGTGCCAGAAAGAGTGTGTTTCTATTTTGAAGAAATTCCTGCAGTACTGGTTGCGTCAAATGTACAATAGATAACTCACCCAATCATCGTCACCTCTTTGATGGGCTACGGGAGTGAATCTCGTATTGAGCATTCCCTGTCTTCTTCTTGACCATTTTGCGTCATTGTAGGCTTGCAGAAGGGAAAGGGAATGATAAACTAAATAATTAGAAATATATTTTCTAGAATTAACTAAATTTTATCGAACTTTATAAATCTTATAAAACTTACGGTTTATGAGACAAACGAAGAGCAAGATTTTCACCAACACAGACGTGTTCATTTCTGAATTAAATATGTTTTCTAGGTTAAAAAAAGGCATAGAATAGTGACCCAAAAACCACTACAATAGAAAGGATGCGTTTAAGCTTTACAAGGAGCACAAAGAACACCATTCGAAGGACAAGTTCATTAATAAAACTTACTAAATCTAAGCGTTGACAGAAAATTTATGTACTTTATTAAAATAACAGTTTAAACCAGCTTTATATCTATATTTATATCGCTAGACATAAACTAGAACTAGAAAATGACTAGAGAAAAGTGATACTAGAGCTTTTAAAGGTGTCTGATCAAAGAAAGAGATAAAATGGGGAGCTCAAATCTTCGATCTCTTGAATCTAGAGGAATCTAGAGAAAAATGACTAGAGAAAAGGGATACTAGAGCTTTTAAAGGTATCTGATCAAAGAAAGAGATAAAAAAGAGAGCTCAAATCTCAAAACATAAACTAAAACTAGAAAATGACTAGAGAAAAGTGATACTAGAGCTTTTAAAGGTGTCTGATCAAAGAAAGAGACAAAAGAAAGAGAGCTCAAATGTTCGATCTCTTGAATGTTTCCGGTCAAAAAGGAAAGAGAAATGATTGGATAAAAGAAATGATGAAAATATTGAAACAGAAAACCAAAGAGTGGCGCGTTTGTTCGAATCTTTGGAAGTCAATTGAAAGGAAAACCCTTTTTTTTAACATTGAAAGTTTTTTTTTTCCATCACTTTTCCTATCACTTATGCTTAGAAGAACGAGTTTTGCGAGAGAAATCTTTGAGGTGAAAACTTCAATTTCCCTCAACAGCTGATAGAAAGTGCAAGGGTAATCTTTGAGAAAACTTTTTAAAGTTTAATCATAGATATGGATTTTTTTTTTGTATTAGATACTCTGGAAAATAACTCCGTTTTTTGATATCAATTACCGTAAATACTGTAATAGTACCCCACCCACCCCCCTCGTACAGTCGCGTAGTCCCAAAAGTTTTTTAGTTATCATTTTTTTTTTCAAAGCGCCTGTACTTTCAAAATGACTTTCGTACCAAAAAATACCCTGTAATTTCAGCTACTCCCTCGTACAAGCCGCGTAGTAGCATAAACAGTTTCTAGAATTAAATTTTTTCAAAGCTAGACCCGCAACCCTCCAAACCGTCGTCTTTGGTATCAAAAAATAGCCCTGAATCTCAGCTATTTTTTGATACCTAAGCGCGCATTGTAGCATAAACCAGTGTCGAGAAAAACTCGTTCAAAGCTAGACTACCCAACACTCCGCACCGTCATTATGGGCGTGGGGTACTATTACAGTATTTACGGTATGTTGAACCTTGTTTCTGAGTTTTTTAAGTACAGATTTTAAAGTACAGATTCATTTGTTGATAGCTTTTCTTCATAATTTCGTAAAATTGTCTATCTAAATAATGGTTTATTTTAGGGGCTCGACATACGGAGAATAAACAAACAAATTCAGACGATTTTTTTTGTATGTTTCAAGCTTGAACATAGCGCAACGTTTGCGCAACATCAATCGTTTATTTGATCATGAGACTACTTCTGTTAGGATCGTTTGGTTCAAACAATTCCAGGAAGGAGACGAGAATCTTGATGACAAGGAGAATCCCGATCACCCAAGACGGGTGATCTTAAAAAACGCAATTATTTTCTGTTACCTAATAGAAAACGGATCATTTCCTTTTAAACAAACAGCTCTTGTTTTCTAAAGCGTGGCTACAATGTTATTTTGAGCTTTAGAAAACAAAAGCTGTTTGCTAAAACGTGGGAATCGTTTTCTATAAAAAGCCCATGTATGGAGGGTATTCGTTGAAGAGATTAGAGCCAAAACAAACTAGAACTGACTTGTGGCTAAAGTGTTCTATTTATATTTGTAGCCAAGATTGTCAAAGCAAGAAGGCCAGGGTCAGAAGCCAGTCTCTAGTCTTGCTTCTGACTTTGTCTGACATTAAGCCTGGCTCACTGCAAGTGTGATCTGGTCCACAAAAAGTTCTTGGGCAAGAAGCCAAGCTGGACTGACTCGAGGTTTAGGGTTGATCCTCTAGAGTCAGGCTTGAATCCGCGCCTTCAGATTGGAAAATTCATGCTTCTGATCTTACTTTGTCTGTAAAATGATTGAGACAGACTATTCGAAGAAGTCAAAGGATTTTGAAAATATTGAGACAGACTATTCGAAGAAGTCAAAGGATTAAAACTAGGCAAGTGACCAATTGCAAGTGCAAGAGATTGAAAAACATCAGTATTGATGCAAATCAATGAAAAAAACTTCTATTTGAACGAATGAATGATACAATTAAATGTCCAAAACTCAATTTCTTCTTTCCAATCGCAAGTCCTCACTTTTATCACGTCACTCTTGTTTTGATCACATTTTGTATATACTCCCAATCACATTGCACCCAATAAATCCCTTTCCTGATAAACGAGAAAATTTCCCTTTTTTTGGGGTACAGAGCTATCCCTGTTTCCGCGATCAAAAATAAATATTATCGAATTTGTTGTAATACTTAAACTATCGAATTTTTGAATCTTTATCGAATATAAGGCAAATCTTTGGCAAATAAAATGATTAGAGATCATAGAGATCAAGTGAAAAATAAATTATTATTACAGCTTTCTTTACTTTTTGACTTTTTGAGTACAAATTTGAAAATAGCCAAGAATTCCAACGATTAGAATAACAAGAGAGAAAAGAACGGAAATAGTGACAGTGATGAATTTTTGGTCCAATTGATCGAGACTCGATGGGAAGGTCGGCTGAAATGAGTTTTGTGGATTGTTCTTGTAGCTGTCGTTTGTTTGCCCGGTACTTTAGCTAGAGTTAATGCAGCTGTACTTTGTGCTCAGAACACACACTGAAAATAGATAAGAATTCCAACGATTAGAATAATAAGAGAGAAAAGAACGGAAATAATGACAGTGATGAATTTTTGGTCCAATTGATCGATACTCGATGGGAAGATCGGCTGAAATGAGTTTTGTGGATTGTTCTTGTAACTGTCGTTTAATTGTTCTTGTAGTTTAATACTTAAACTATCGATTTTTTGAATCTTTATCGAATATAAGGCAAATCTTTGGCAAATAAAATGATTAGAGATCACAGAGAACAAGTGAAAAATAAATTATTATTACAGCTTTCTTTACTTTTTGACTTTTTGAATACAGATTTGGAAATAGATAAGAATTCCAACGATTAGAATCACAAGAGAGAAAAGAACGGAAATAATGACAGTGATTATACATTTTGTGTCACAAGATGGAGGCTCCCAACGCTGACTTTCGAGAATTTTTGGTCCAATTGATCGATACTCGATTGGAAGATCGGCTGAAATGAGTTTTGTCGATTGTTCTTGTAGCTGTCGTTTGTTTGCCTGGTACTTTAGCTACAGTTAATGCAACTGTACTTTAACTGTACAACTGTACTTTAACTGTACAACTGTACAGCTGACAGAGCACAACACTGTTCTAGCAGTTTCCTTTTTGCACCATTATCACAAACCAGAGAGCCTTGCAAGCAGAAATGGCAAACAATCGATCGCGTATCCTTTCACATTCCGACAATCGTAACAATCCGTTGTACCACCGCATTTCATCAACCTAAAGAAATGAGTTATCTCAAAAGAAATCAAAATTCAAAACCATTCAATAATGCTTCGACTCCCGTCTTTGAAATGAGCGACGGTGAAATTCTTTGGATAAAATTGAGCCATTGGGAAGAAAGCAGAAAACCCTAAATCAAGAATCGATTTACTTAAATCTATTTATTTATATTATATATTTATTTATAAGTACTTCTTTCCGTACTTCTTATTTTCAAAAATTCAAAAACAAATCCAGCCAACCGGATTCGAACCAGTGACCTAAGGATAGCTGAGACTCTACAGTCCTCCGCTCTACCAACTGAGCTATGGCTGGAATGGCGAGCTGGCGAAAAAAAGAGTGAGAAGAACCGCCTGGGAAAAGGATAGCGAAATGGGAAAACTTGATAAAAAAGTCATTTTTAAGCTAGAAATCTTTAGCAAATAGAATTTTTTCAAATTTTCGATTACTTACCGAGAAGTTGCGGATCATCGAGTGATTGTTTTCCAAAAAGTGTAATCGGATTCTTGTTCTCCAAGAGTAAAGGCTCCAATTTGTCCGACAAAATCTCCATCCCATCCCAAATGAGTAAAACGTTTGAGTATTGAGCCAATGCATGCTAAATTGTTCTAATCAATTGGAAAGCTTGAGTGAAAATTGAGTTGAATAAGTAGAATACTACGAGATTTGAAGAAGAACAAGCTAGGACTGAGAATCAGTTGATTGAAACATCTCGGCTTTTCTTTATGACTCTTTTACCAATTGAGCCATCCACCATGGCTGACTGGCTAAGAGCCTTGCCTCTTACTAGGGAAGCCTCTTAGCCAGTCAGCTCCAACTCAAGGTAGAAGTTTCGGAATAAGATCTAGAGCATCTTGTAGAGTTTCATGGGGAATCCAATGCTGGTTTTATTTGAGGCGTACACACTTCCCTAACAGATGTTGTCCTAGTGGATAAGAGGTTTGTCTCTGAAATCAGCGATTTTCCCATGAAAAACTCTACAAGATGGTCTAGGTCTCATTCCAAAACTCCACTGGATGTACGGCCTTCCCTACTTAGTCGAGAGGTCACGGTTTAATCTCGCCGATTAGATTATTCGTTCTTTTTTTCTCATATTTTTCTTCTCAACAGCTCAGGGCATGCTTTTATATTGTTTTTATTCCATTATTTGTATTAAAATTACCATAATATAGAAAGGAGTGAATGCAAAATTGTTGAGCGGTTGGCTTGAGAGAAGACCTGGGATATCGAATGCTTCGAACATTTCCACATTTCGAACTCCTGTCAGCTTTGTTCGAATGGCTGTCTAGAATCAGCTCAATCAGCAGCTATTCTAGTATTCTAGTATTCTAGTAATTTACAATTTAAACTCACTTTTGGTGATAAGTAATTGTTATAGATTAATATCTTCCTTTCTGGATAATATTTATGAATCGAGCTGATCAAGACGAGCAATTGACTCATTCGGTCTTCATTTGTGACAATCATGATCGCTGTTTCAGCAGTGATTGGCTCGCTAAGAATGATTATGGCCTTAGTTATGACTCTTTCAAACAAATCTTTCAAAATCTAAATTAAAAACATTGCTTTTAACTTACAGTTGATTTATTTTATCTTGGTCGCGTCCGTTTCCTTCCTATTTGCGTTGCTATTTTGCAATTACCGTATTTACTCTATTAGTGGGGTCCCCACTATTTTTTCAATCCCCTTCCAGACGACCCCACTATTAGAGAGGACCCCACTATTAGAGAAATTTAAAAGAACATAAAACCAAAGTTTTAAATTGAAAAGATATCAATTTTTCTCCGAAATTCTTGACAAAACAAGTTTGGCTTCATATTTTATTTAGCTTTAACCGTAACAAAACATTAACAAACAGTAAGAACTAACCAAGAGACAACAATTGATTATCACTTTCGTTACCAATATCTTCTTCCAATTCGAGGACCCCACTATTTTTCAACCCCTCCAGACGACCCCACTATTAGAGAGGACCCCACTATTAGGGAGGACCCCACTAATAGAGTAAATACGGTATTCGCGTCGCATTTTTCGTCCTTTTTCTCCCTTCCCAAAATTATTTTTTTTGGTCTGCGGGTTTTTGTTTTTTGTTTTTGCCTTCTTTCTTGGGGGAACTTTGTTGTTTCATTGTTCATTTTTGATGCGCATGCTGTTTTTGTAATGGATATTGTTGCATTTCGGTTCTGTACTAATAAACAGTAACGTTATAAATTCACTTTACTTTATGCTACCCTTCAGTTTTTAAATCCTGTTTAGATAACTTGTTTAACATTGTGGAGAGACTGGTTTTACTAACATTTGTGTCACCATCGACGTAGTATCAATCCGATCTGTACTCTTCTCAAGTCTTAATCTATTGTTGGATACTACGTGTTCTTGTTACGTTGTAAGCGCTTTTGGGGAAACCCTTTTAACCTTTTGTGCTATTCGACCATTCCTAGGCAGAATCATCCTCGTTGATAAGGTTAAAGCGGGTCGCACCCCAAATTGGTCGCGTCCGTTTCCTTCCTATTTGCGTTGCTATTTTGATTGATTCGCTGATTGATTGAATCAATCAGCAGTGATTGATTCGCTAAGAATTGTTATGAGTTCTAGCCTTAGTTCTTAACAAATCTTAGTTCTAGCCTTAGTTCTTAACAAATCTTTTAAAATCCAAAATTAAAAACATTGCTTTTGACTTACAGTTGATGTATTTTATCTTTATTGCAATAGAAACACTTTCCACATTGAGCATCATCTTGTGGATGTGAGTAACAGTTCTGAAAATCAATTTTTAAGTAATAATCTTAGAGATAAAGCTTCCTTAAAATGCTTTATAAATCTTAATTTAAAATCTAACTAAGCTGAAATCGAATAAGCTTTAAATTTGCATTTAATATTTTATTTTGCATTTCTTCATTTTATCTTTACCTGCTCATTTTCACAATCACAAATTCGTCTCCTCCATTTGTGAACACCTTTCAAACTGCCACTGCTGTAGAAATAAAGCTAAAAAAAGATTTTTTTAAGTTGATTTTTTATAAAATCGAAATCTTTTTCATCTTTTTGATCTTTTTGATCTTTTTGATCATTTACAAACTCACAATTAACTGAAAAACGAAAAGAGTCGCTAGGATGATGACGAGAATTGAGCGAAATTTATACGCCATTTTATATCACATAACACTGAAATTTAAAATTCAACAACAACAAAAATCCTGAAAAATTACAAATAAAATCAGTAAAATGCTTTAAAATTCGACAGATTCAATATATATTCATTAAAGTTAGAAAGAAAGAAAGAAAGGGAGTTAGAAAGGAAGTTAGAAAGAATTTAGAACCTTTTTAACTTTCTTTCTAACTCCCTTTCTTTCTTTCTTAGAAGTTAGAAAGAAAAGAAATTATGTTTAAAGAAAATCGATAACTTCTAAAAGAAAAATGTAGTGGTTTCATGAAATAAACTAGCTAAACTAGCTAAGCAAACGAGTTGAACAACTGAAGAACAGACTAAGAAGTTCTAGAAAAGTCGATGAATTGAAGAATCGAAGTTGAAGGCACTTTGAAATAGGGAAGGCATAGGATGGGGTAAAGAAAGCGAGGAGGCCCTATTGACCAGGGGCTCTCTCCCGGCCCCTTCCCTCCTCTTCCCCTTTCCCTTCCCCTTTCCCTTTCCCTTTCTCATTCTCTTCACTCACTTTTATATCTCTTCTCCATCTTTTGAAAGCTTTTCTTTCTTTCTTTCTTTCTTTCTTCCTTTCTTTCCTTCCTTCCTTTTTTCCTTTCTCAAGCTCTGACCAATCTAACAATCTCACCCAGTAACCATTCAAATGTCGATTAATTTTTGATTTTCTAGAATTTCTAAGATTTCTTTAGAACTTTTAGATTAAAATATTGATATTTTGACTTATAAAAGACTTTTTTTTGAATTGGCTTGCTGCTTACTGTAGCTAAGAACTAGTTAAGCAATCGAGCTGAATTGGCTTGCTGCTTACTGTTGGGAAAACGTTGAGTAGGATTTCATAGTTAACAAGTAATGCAATTTTATAGAACATAGATATTTTGACTTCTAAAAGGCTTTTTTTGAATTGGCTTGCTGCTTACTGTAGCTAAGAATTACAGTATCCAAGTGAAACACATTTGGAAACCATTTTTCATTCAAAAATTTGACTTTTTAGTTCATTATACGAAATTTCTTTATCAAAAACTCTTAAATTGTATATAAATTAATTTGAATTAAATCTATAATAGTTATAATCGATCATTTCCATATCAACTCATCATTTGCAATCAGCTTAACGACTTTTCCCTTTCGATAAGCGATGATCGATGACCAAAAGACTCGCTTGACCACTGCCAGCCATTCATCCACCGCCACTCCTCAATATTTGTTCCAAGATTTGTTCCTCAATCCAAACAACATATAACTCAAGCAACATTTGATTCAAAATTTTATAAACTTTAACATAATAAGCATTTCTATATCAATTATTGCCTTCAAGATTTAAAAGATTACTTTAAAAACATTAAAATCCTTCCTTTTCCTTCCTTTTCTTGAAATGAGTCCATTTTATGCGAAATTTTTCTAGTAAACGGCTTTTTTGTTTGTGTGTATATCCCATATGTTTTCGTTTACATCAAATTTTGTGTACTAAGTACTAATTGACCTAGTACTTTCCACAACTCACACCTTTAAACCTAGATTGACTAAGGAAAGAGTACTTTATTTAATAGTTGAAAATAAAAATCATCTTTAAAATGTCATCTTTTAAAGTAAACTTCAAAATCCCTCATTTCCTTTCCTCAAAGTTTCAAGACAATATTTTGGCGGGCGATTTCAAATGCACCACAACAGTCGATGGAAAGGAAATGGCTTGGATTGAAAGAGAAAAATGAAGGGGAAAAGAGGTATGACTCAGTCCAAGAGAAAAGGAGAAAGAGATCTTCAAGTCATTCCAATCATTCAACTCTGGAATTGTTGGAATGCTTGTGAAATTGAATAGAACTGGCAAACGAATACGTAAATCCTTTACATAACGGTTTTAAGTACCAATTCTTTTTGGCATTAACTTTCTGGCTTTATTAGCTAATCAAGTCAGTCTAGCAAGTCAGGTTTTTCTAGTCCGGATCGGAGATGGACGTCATAACGAGAGGAGATTCATTCTCCTCTGAAACGGACGTCCGACTCAGATTCGGACGTCAGGATCGGAGATGGACGTCTCGTCAGATTCGGACGTATATATTGGGTTGGTGGAAAAGTCCTTTCGGATTTTTTGGGAGAGTACCTTAAATTTGTCCAATTTTGACGTTTTATAGCTCATCCTAAAGCTGAATTCAAGACGGATCGATTGGTAAAACCGTTATAATATATTAATACAAAGTATATAATATATATGTTACGTCCTAATCTGAGGAGACGTCCATCTCCGATCCGGACTTCCAAATCTGAGTCGGACGTCCGTTTCAGAGGAGAATGAATCTCCTCAGATTCGGACGTCCGGATCGGAGATGGATGTCTCCTCAGATTCGGAAGTAACATATATATTATATACTTTGTAGCGATCAAGCAACTGATCTATTGCAATTAACAATCGGGGAAATCTAGATTTTGGTTTACATTTTGACTTCTACAACTTCCAAGCCAAGTTGTCTTATTGACAAGTTTAAATCCTTTTAAAAAGCAGCTGGAAGAAGAAAGATTGGAGGCTTTGGACGAAGGAGTGGAAGGGAATGGAGGAAGGGAATGAAGGGAAAGGGAGGGAAAGAGAATGAAGGAGTGGAAGGGAATGAAGGGGAAGGGAATGGGTGTTTGCGCGAGTCTTTCTTCAATCTTCTACAGTCATTTCCCTTCGCTCGTCCCCAAAACAACACAAGGCTTGTGATGGGAAAAGAATTCGAGAAAAAGATGGGAATCGTTTTTGGGGAAAAAGAACCGTATTTGGCCTTCCAACACTACACCGTCAAAACTCCTCTTCTTCTTCTTTTCTTTTCCAAACTCTCTTCTCAATTGTTTTTTATGTCGAGTACCCGCTTGTTCGGGCTCTAGTCTCGTGTTTTGTCTTTTCAAACCTTTTCCCGGAAAGGTAGAACGGAAATTTGATGGTTTTTCTTCAAGTTAGCTTGACTTGGCTGGCTTGATTGTCTACATTTGACTCGCTAAATCTAGGTCCTACTTTGTGTTGTCCTAAAAACACTTACTGGCCCACCTCTTTGTTCATTTCCAGTTCAAAACGCTCTACTATCAGCCAGCAAGTGTGCCAATAGGCATACGAGCACAAAGTTCAATTTAAATCCCAACCATTTCCCATCCTATTCTTTGCTCTCCACAATTGTCACCGTGCCAACAATCATCTTTTTCCTATATTCAAAAAGCTCTCAACTCTTTGATGATTCTAGATTTTTGTGTAGATAAAGAGAGCCAACATTTGACAAATCGTGTGAACACAGTTCTCATTCAATCAGCTAGATTCTATTTTCTTGATGATCATCTCTAATATTTTAAAAGCCTACTCTTTTGAGTGCTTCTTGTCCGACTTTTTGATTCAAATTCTGGATTTCTAGTTAACCTAGAACTGTAAAACAAATCTGTAAACCAACTTTCAGTTGATTAGTTACATTCTAGTGTTGTTTGAATCAATTCTTCCAAAGCCAAGCTCTCTTTTACTCATTATTTTATTGAGTCGACTAATTTCCTTCGATCAATGATCATTTAAAGACAAAAAAAAAAGAGTTTCAGAGCTAAAAGGCTAACAGAGAAGGTATGTTAACAAAGAATAATAACGCTTAGCAAGCAAGCCTAAGCCTAAGCCTAAAGAGAGCCAACATTTGACAAATCGTGTGAACACAGTTCTCATTCAATCAGCTAGATTCTATTTTCTTGATGATCATCTCTAATATTTTTGATCATCTCTAATAAAAGCCTACTCTTTTGAGTGCTTCTTGTCCTTCTTGTCTTCTTGTTTGATTCAATTTCTGGATTTCTAGTTAACCTAGAACTCAACTTATTTTTATTCTAGTACAACAATTCAAGATTTAAGTGAGTGTGACTACAGATAGCTGATATAACTGTTTTTTTTTGAAGCTAAAAGATTGAAACAAATCCGCACGCTAATTTTCAGTTGATTAGTTACATTCTAGTGTTGTTTGAATCAATTCTTCTAAAGCCAAGCTCTCTTTTACTCATTGTTTTATTGAGTCGACTAATTTCTTTCGATCAATGATCATTTAAAGATAAAAAAAAAGAGTTTCAGAGCTAAAAGGCTAACAGAGAAGGTATGTTGTGAATTTCCCGCTCGTGGAATCGGAAAAGAAGGGAAGGGCTTTGTGTTCACATAGCTGAAAGAGAAGAGAAAAGAGATCGTTTGAGAAGAGAAAAGAAAAGAAGAAAGAGACACGAAATCGATCGATCGGAACGGTATCCCTGAGGGGAATAGGGAAGGGAAGAGGAAGAGTGAGAAGAGAGGAAAGAGAGAGAAGAGAGGGGCAGTCACAGACCATGTCCTCCCCTTCACTGACCTGCGCTCCCTTTCCTTCCTTCACCCTTAGCTCCCTGTCTTTTCAAATGTTTTTTTTTTGGATATTTGATTCAAATATTTAGTGGTGATCAAGATTTTGAATGAATCGATTCCATTCTTTCATTCTTTCAGACATCTTTCAGTACAAAATTCAATCTTAAAACTTTTTACAAAACTTTTTCTAAAACTTTGTTAAACAATGTTGCTAACAATGATGTTCAACGATGTTCAATGCTTCCGATGCTATTCTAATTCATCAGATATTTTGTGGAAAAAAAAAATCTAAAAAATCCAGCCAACCGGATTCGAACCAGTGACCTAAGGATAGCTGAGACTCTACAGTCCTCCGCTCTACCAACGACAGGAACACAACTACTTACCACCCAGATCGACCCAAAATCACAGGGGAAAGACACACAAAGAAGAATTCTGAAATGCTGCTAAAGCCAGAACAACTGAAAATAAGGTTCAAAGTTCAAAGTAGCAAACTAAACATTTTGGGACTTGCAGGCACTCTTTAAAGGGAACTCTCACAGGCACCCTCCCAGGTTAGCCGAGGGCCGAGTGGTTAGGAGCGCGATCTGGTAGTCCGAGTGGCGCTGGTTCGGCCCACCCCAAAAGTTTTCTTTTTGCAAAACCACATAATGTGCGTTCTATTT